CACACTCAGTCGGCTCTCAACAACAGGGACACCGACTACAACTGACCTCTTGCTCTTTCTCCCTTCCTGCTTTCCCCTTTACTTTAGAAACAGTTGAGTTTTGGGTGGTCCCTTTTTTGGCTGTCTGGAATTTTGTCTTTTTGCTGTTCCTCCACCCACCACGTCTCACTGCACCATGGACTTTGGATTTGAGCTTATCTTGCCTTGTGTAGGATGTTTTCAGGAAGTAGGAACGTTGATTTTGGCCCTCTGGTCTGACTTTTCGAAGTAGGAGTTCAACAGGTCCCATCCAGGGATTGACTCTCCTGGAATCATGAACCCAAATCCAGGTAATGACTTGTGCTGAGACATGGGGACCTCTGGAGCTGTCATTTATAAATCAACACAGATTGAACAGGTTGCAGGGTGGCAATGAACACGAGCACAGTGCAGTCTGAAGGTATCATGATAGCTTTGCTTTTGGTTTGTACCCCGGCACACTGGATTGTATAATGACAGTTACCATGAGATTAAAGTGCTGGCTTGAGTCCTACATTGTTTACCCAATAGGGATTTGAACGACCCTAAACGACCTTAAAGCCATTGCTTCATTTGGATTCTGGCCCCAGAGTAGAGCCAGACATGAAAAACTTATTTTCTATGTATGGCTAGAGTTTCTCTAGTTTCTTTCCCTCATCAAAGAATTTGCAGTTCTTCCATGCTGATGCAGCTTGTGTTCTCTTAGTATTGCGTAGTTTTGGTAATATGAAGATGGCTCATATGAAAACATGGCAAAAGGTGGTCAGGGTCTTTGGAGGTTTACTGGTGGACATTTATTACTAGGATCTAGCACTATAGACCAATTGAAATTGCCTTTGGTGTGTTTTCAAAGGCTGTTAAACAGCTGTCTAGTGAGCATGAGCAAATGTACTCGCTGCTATTTGAGGTTTGTTTGTTTAATGACCTCTACAACAGATGGATGAGCCCATGAGGCTACACAGGAAGACACAACTGCACCAGAGATAAAACTAACACATTACACTGTTAAACATCACAGGTGATGGTGTTTTAGGAGGCAGTGCTCCTGTGTAAAATTTCAGTTGAACACCCTGTGCACAATGCAATGATCAAAACTCCGTCATAACTCCACCATTTTGCTTGTGCAAATCATGATGCTGGAACAGATGAGAGGGCAGAAAAAGTAGGGATAATGTAGAAAAATGTAAATTAGGTTAGCAACCCCTTTGTGGGGATGAACACTCACATAAAAAAAAGTGATGATGTGAGTTTACACAGTCCGTTCAGGACTCATGCAGATTTCAGGGTTTATTCAGAGATGGGAGCCAAAGCAGCAGCTTCATTAACCACAAGTCCTATATCAGTCCTAGTCTAATCATCTATCCAACCATTCATCTCCATCTTCTTTTCCCAGTCTCCTCCTCTCTACAAGGCTTTATTTCTTCAAGTCATTCCCTCTGTAGGGTAATAGTATAGCCAAACTAAGACCCAATGCTGCCCTGATCTGCACACAGCCTCATCTGCAACTCTGAGCCACTGGATGCCCTTTGACCCCAGCTGACCTCTTCTACTACAGAATGGCTTCTGTTGCCAAATTGCACTCTAAATATATAGACTTGTTCTTGGCTGGACCATGCAATATGAACACAAATATTGTTGACTGAGTGAGTGACTGACTGACTGAGGGAGGAAGTTACACAATTGATCAACCAAATGCCACGTGACCAAGGGATAAGGTTATACCATTGGTTGGCTGACTGAGTGTTGGAGTTTCTCCATTGGTTGTAGCTCTTTCAAATAGTGCGAACAAGCAATGTTGACAACTTAGCGCCTTTTGTAACTAGATTTATTGACTTTTCAGAAAAGTACCTACCTTTTTGGACAAACCTTAGACACTGTCTTTAGAACAGAGTCACCAGCATTGCCCTGTGAGCGTGAGGTCAGGCTTTCCCTCCATAGGGACACATCTCTATGTTGACTGCACAGCAGCTGATGTGAATGAGCTTCTAGTTTTCTCTCTGAGTGATCATTTCAAGTAAATGAATATAGCCACATTAATGTACAGCACAGTCATATATATATGGTGATTTTGTCAGATGAAGTTGTGGTTATAAAATCAGGATTTTAGCAGTGCAGAGCAGCAGCTTGGAAATGGCTTGGAAGTGACTCCTGGTCAACATGTAGTCTTAATGGGCCGTGTTTCAGTCACTATTTCATACTCCGTTGTCTGATAACAGAAACAGAAAAAACATGTAAATGAGAACAGCTTCATTGGGAATTCAGCTGTATTAAAATACTGTATGTGTGAGCACAGAGAGTAGAAGAGACTGTGTAGAACAAAGCTGAAATGGCTGTAGGGGTTATTAATGAGAATTTTAGATTTGCTGTTCATTCTGTACATGTTTTTTGTAATGTAATATGGGTTCATGCATATCTACACAAGTTAGAATGAATCTTTATATTCTTGGCATCATCAGTCTGCCCATAAGAACTAAGAAACATTCACATGCTACTCACAGAGTGAGTGTTTTATCATACACACACACATGCAAAAACACCTCTGACATGGCATCATTTGACATTCTTTAACTTGCATATTATAGTTTATCACAGAATACAACGTGTGACATATATGCAAACACTTTGATAAGGGGACATCTGGCTGTCATTCAGATTGCACTGGTAAAATATTAAGAGTAATGTGAATATGGGCCACATTTTATCTTGCACACCTACTGTACTTGTATTCACGCTTAATGCACACACCTGTTTTCATGGCTATTTTTTTTCTTGATGTTATCATGTTACTGCTTTGTGCTGCAGTAACCCAAGTTTCCCACAAGAATCATTTACAGCCAGTTTCTGTTGAAGTGGGTATTAGATTTTATTGATCAATCATTAATCATTTCAGTGGTAGATGCATGCATTCTACCTTTTAAAATTATGGTTTTATATATTTTGAATTGCTAGTTGCATCTTTGTTTTTCTGTGCCAGTCTTTTTTTAAAGAAGGGAATTATTTCTTATTTGTGTGGTCAATAGTGTTTCCAGGTCTTTTCAGTGAAGTGCTCCAGTCACAAGCTGTCAAATTAAGGAAAGCGCTTCTGCCCCTTTGCCCGTCACCACTGGCTTATTGTGTAGTAGCCCACTCTGCCTGTCAGAGGGTCCACTCCATCACCCTCCAGAAGTTAACTTGCATGAAATGAGCTCCCTCTTTTGTCTTTTTGATTAATAGCTATATGACCTCTCATTCAGAGTTCATCTCATTTATGCTGTTATTGTACTTAATCTAATGCCCATTCACAAATTCCCAGTTCAATATTTGGCTGCAGGACATTATCCTCCTTTGTCAAAGAGCCAATCTTTTGTTTGAGGAAAATTATTTTAGGCGAAGGAATAGATAGACTAGACATTATTGTAACCTGGCCCAGCCATGCCTTTCCTGTTATAACAATAGCCATTATGAAACCAGTTCCAAGGCCCCGGTGCACCTGAGGCAGGGTAGGCTTGTTAATACTTGTGTACACACCTCTGTAGCTGTCCCATAGACTGACATGCAATACCTCTGCAGCCATGACCTCATGTCTTTGTCCAGCTTGTCCTTTGTGAACTACGTAAGACATCTGAATGTGTTAGGGAGGAGGCAGCATCAACAGTTTGCATTTATATATTTTTCTGCAACATCTCAAATCACAAAGTGTAGAAATAAGCAAAAGTCACCATACTATATTAGATGTGGCAACATTACATGATACATAAATGGAAGGATGCATTTGTTACATTTAAATGCAAAGTGCACTCAAGTGTGTTCATCAAGGCACAAGAGAGTCCACTTGTAGCATAGGATATGAAGTCTGTACTTTGTTCCTCTCTTCCACTTACATCATTAATCATCTGACTGAGCTACCATGTCACTGAAATGAAGAGATAAAGAAGCCATGTAGAAAAAAAAGTGAGAGAGAGAGTGAGAGAGGAGAAATGTGGAATCGGCTGGGTGGCCTGTGCTATTTCAGGTAGAGGCCATCTGTTTTAGTTTGTCAGTTTAGTCTGGATCAGGGGGACAGATTTAATTTGGTCTTCAACTTTCTGGGACAGATTGGTCTCTGTGGAGACTCACTCACTCACTCTTCACCACACTCACACACACACACACACACGAAGGAGCATCATATGTTTTGTATTGAATGATTATTTTGCACATCTACCTCTGCATATAGTATGATTTCCTTTTCATCTTGTGTGGTAACACATATGAGAGTGATTTATTAAACAATCATGTCAGTAAATGATCTTAACATTTGCAGCCCTAATACTGTTTGTCCTTGGGTCCTTGACTAATTAAGCCAGCCTTCCATCCCAAAGCACAAAGGCATGTGCATGTTTTCATTTTGGCACATTTGGGACAGGCCCATCTGCTTCTGCATAAAGCCCAATGTTAAGCTCTCTGTCTGTGTCCAGGAGGCTGACCTGAAAGTGCTGAGTCACCCTGAGCCTGATAGTGCCATTAATCAATAGCCCAGCTCTGAGCTGAGTCGGAACACGGCAACACACTGCTCACATTTGAGAATACAGGAAACATGGCATATATTGTTTCAGCCCGTTTTGTTTCCTGTCGGTCTGCACTGCAGAGAAAATGCTGCAGGGATAGCAGGAACTCTGTCAGGTTGTCAACCCCCTCTTCATACATGTCTGTCATCCACATAGTTTTTTTTCTTAGGAAGACAGAGATGAAAGATTGATTAAAAAAAGAGATGAAAAAATTATTGAAAGAAATAGTGTACACTACTGACTACACTATACTGAGACGGCTAAAATACTGTGTGGGTGTGTAGGTGCTGGGGGATTATAAACCCCTCCAGCAGGGCTGCTAGTGGATCATTGGACATGCATTTGTGATGCATTCAAGAACATGTTTGCATAGTAAATTGTTATTTCTTTTACTTTGGGTTGAATTTGAACGTTAGAAGTTTGTTATGGACACACTATTCTGTTCTTTCCTTCCAGCATCTTACTCCCAGTATAAATCGGAGGATGGAACAGTGTCTTCAGCCACCCGCCCGAGCTCTGCGGGCTCCGGACAGACCTACACTCCCACCCTGACCCCTACCCCCACTCCAACCCCTAGTCGCACCACCACCAGCAACAGTCCCAGTAACAATGCTGCTACCAAAACAGGTAAGTCACACAAAAAAAAACCATGATGAGACATAATACAGGATTAGTTCTGTCCTCAGTCTTTCAACCCAGAGTAGTTTATTCTGCTGTTTAACTGTTGTTTGTGCTGCAGACTCGCTGCTCTTTAACAAGATTGACGAGAGACAGAGGTTGGCCCGTGAGCGGCGGGAGGAGCGTGAGAAACAGAATGGTGTGTATTTTTTTAACGTGTGTGTGTGTGTGTGTGTGTGTGGGGTTGGGGGGTGGGGGGCTGGGGAGGCTGTACAGCAGCAGTTAAAGGCGCTTTAAATGCATCCCTCACTTTCTTTTTTGTCTTTTCCTGCAACATATCATGACTGATCTTGGTTGGTAGCTGAAGTGCTTGTTTCTCTGGTTGTTACATAAAATCTTGGCCGAAGCCCGGCACCCCCGTTGCCATGGCACCCATGTTACATAATGGGGTCAGGCCATGGGACAGGTTTTAGGAAGGCTGGTGTCTTGAATGCATGTTCTTGTATGAGTGTGTGAGTGACATAGCGCAGCAGATGGGTTTTAGGGAGTCATGGCTTGTTTGCGTTGGTATGTTTGTATCACTGAAGTGTGTTTGTGTTTGTTGTATTGCACTGTGGTCATACCTCTGGCCCCAGCTGAGGGGCTGAGGGATTTGCTTTGTGTTGAGAGCTAAAGCCTAATCACATGATCTACAGCTGACCTATCACACTGCTGCTGTAAGCCTGTGTGTATCCATGTGGCATGTGTATGCATATGATTAGGTATACATGTATATACACTTGCATGTGCATCAAGTCATTATTAAATGTTTGTGTGTGTGTGTGTGTGTGTGTGTTTGCGTAATATCATGCCGCAGCCTTCAAGGAGGCTCAGTGGCAGGCACGTGAGGAGCGAGCCAAGCAGTACTATGAGAAGCACCTGGAGGAGAGGAGGAGAAGGCTGGAGGAGCAGAGGATAAAGGAGGAGAAGAGGCGGGCTGCCGTGGAGGAGAAACGACGGCTGAAACTGGAGGAGGACAAGGTTCTGACACACCTGCGCATCCAGATCTGTTCACGCCTTATATAAGCACACAGAAACACACATGTATGCACGCTTCTCACTCCAAGATCTGAGTGCAACATAATATAATATTCTCATATTCTCATGCTTCATCTCCTACTAATAATATCCTCATAAGCCGGCTAATAAATATCTCTTTTTAGTAAACCATTTACACAGTCTGTGCCCCTTCCTTCTTCTGTCAGTTGGAGTTTGAACTCTCCTGCTATCTCCTGTCCACACACTCAGACTGTCAGGATGTAGTGTCATGGTTAGGGATTCGGGTTTGCTTTCTTGGTGGAAAATTTATCCTCAAAATTTACCACCAAGATACAAAAGGAAAAAAATCTTTCTTATAATTGTACCATCTTGTGGAAAAAAAACATTTACAATATTCCAAGTGAGAAGTGGGGAAACTTTGAATGGAGTTATGTTTACAGGGTTTTCTTTTTGGACCAACAAGTTCTATGTGTAATGTCCTATTAAAGGAGTTGCACTTTACAGTGAGTTGGATTTCAGGCTCTGATTAGGTCATTGATTGAATGAACATTGGGACAATAATGAGTCAGAAACCCACAACATGATTCTGAGGCAGCTCATGTTGATGACTTTGAACACCATCCTCAGAGGGTTAAAAATCTTAAAAATGTTGAGTCCCTGTGGTCAAGTGGTCCATCATGTAATCACAATCTCTACCTGTCTCAGCAGTGTGTTATCTAAACAAATAATCTTGACAAGCTTTTACTCATATGTAGCTCTAAGTTCTTACATTTGTAAATTAAGTTTGGAAAATGATTTTTGCATTTTTTCCTTGTTTAATAGTGACCATGGAGATACAGACCAGAAATGCATGAAAAGAGAAAGATGGGGGCATCACATGCAACCTGCCAGAGCTTGACCAACCCATTAGACTTGTTTTTACTTCACATTGTACACATGTTGAACTTTCAACGGAACACAAAGAGTTCTGGCGTTGCAGCAGCCCAGAAAATATCCTCATTTCTGGGATATTACAAATTCTCAGTGGACTACTTTAAGATACACAGAGTAGTTTTGCTTTCATTTTGAGTGTTCATAAATAGAATTTTGATTTTATCAGTCAAGTACTGGTACAACTGGTACGCATAAAACATACTTCATGACTGTAAACTAAACAAGTCCATTCAGAGCAAAAAATGGTCCAGTGTTGCGGTACTATGTGGGGGCATTGTTTTTTTTTTTGTTTTTTTTTTAATACTGATTATGTGACAACATTGTCGTTGTTTTTGTGACTGAAGGTTCGTCATGAGGCGGTGATCCGTCGGACATTGGAGCGGAGTCAGAGAAGCCGACAGAAGCCCAACCGCTGGTCGTGGGGAGGGGCTCTGCACACAAACACTCCCAGCACACCAGCCGGTACTTTGACGCGTCACACACCTACACACATTAGCTGCACAAACTCCCAGTACTCTCCCAGTAATTACAGCGACAGGTAAAATTCTCATACCACACAGGTGGTATGAGAATGATCAAGTTTACTGAGCACTTATCTCCCTGTTGTCTGACAGCATGCCTCTTGTGTGAATATGTCTGCCTGCCTCTGCGTGTCAGTGTTGTTCTGCCATGTTTATATTTGAACTTTTCAGATCCGCTGCCCTCTGTTGTTACTGCTGACTCACACCCTGCTCTGCCTCTCCCTCCCTCTCTCTGTCTCTCTCTCTCCCACTTATTCTCAAACTCAACCTCTCCCCGACTCACTCTCTCTCTCTCACTCTCTCACCCTCGCCCTCGGATCTCCCTCCTCTCTGCTCTTTGTTTCTCTGCCATTGTCCTTTCCCCTCCTGGTCCAGGTTTTGTCGAGTCGGCTTTCCTCTATCCACTCGACCTTGCTGGACTGGAGCACATGCAGAGTGCTTTCAGTCTCTACCGCAGATACGGAATGACCTCCCAATGTGAATATTATAGCACTGTGTCAGTTAGCTGGCTAGCGTTAGACCGCTGACTCTAGCACTGTAACTGTACAGCACTTTTTTAGCACACTGGCATTAGTGTCAATGTAGGCCAATGTGAATGGCATGTTTAGTGTTTGTTGTTTTATTTGCATGTAGCAATCCGGTTTGTGACACACAGGATCATTCATTCAAACCATTGTAGCCTCATTTTTAGATGAATTAAGACCCATTTAGCACTAATTCATGTTTTAATATTTTTCCCCTTTTAGCGACATATTTGTAGTTTTTTCATTTCTAATCTGACTTAACCACAACTCATAGACTAGAATGCTATCTCCAGCTCTCTTTCTCCTTTCTGTCTTTAAGTCCCTCACTTCTATGATATACCATTAATTTGCTTTTGATTTGCTGCTTGTTTGTTAGATGCTGACAGGCGGTCAGTGTCCACGATGAATTTATCCAGACATGCAGACCCTGTCATTACCAAGCGCCTCTCCTCCTCCTCTGCCACTCTCCTACACTCACCAGACCGAGGTAATGAAGATGAACATTACACCCAAACAACAATGTTATTCATTACATTATTCATTTGTGATGGTCTGCCTTTGGCTGAATCTTTATGCCATTTGTGTCTGTTGTAAGATAGACTCTAAATTTTATGTCTTATAACCACTTGTTGTTTTCTTTGAATTACTCAGTGAGATTTAGGAATACAGTGACACTGATGACTTAAGGAAAAAATGGGAAACACACTTATTTGCTTTCTTGCCAAGAATTAAATGACAATATCAATAGTCCTCCCATGTCTGTATGGTAAATATGAAGGTATAGCCTGCAGACAGTTAGCTTAGCTTAGCATAAAGACCAAAAACAGGGGGAAACAAGCCTGTCTCTGGCTAAAGGTAACAAAGTTAACCTACTAGCACCACTAATTAACACATTATATTAGGTTTAACACATAAAACCACAATTTATTATTTTCACACTTCAGTGCCTGTATGGATTGTACAAAAACAGAATGCATGACTATTTTGTTGATGAGTTTCAAACACTTTCTGTAATAAAACATCTAAAAGCAAAAATCTTATCAAATAGGGGTCCACGGTCCATATTTGTGTCAGTTAAGAGGTCCTTGATGTGAGGAAGTTTGAGAACCACTGCTTTAAACTATATATTTTTAAGTGTTAATTGAACATTTGTCATGTATTCTTTGATGTTCATATGTTGCTGACAGGCTTACAGATGAGAACAGCCTCCACCCCTGTCATTAGCAAAGCTCTGTCCAAACCGCGCCTACACCAGGGAAAGACCACCCAGCACAAAAACACAGGTGTTTTCTGGGAAATTTTTGCAATTCGGTCCCTCATTTCATACACTATGCACTTTGTTGCAAAGCAAAAAAGATCATGGGCTGGAAACTGTGAAGGAATTCCAAAAATAAATAAATAGTCTCAGTGAAATCAAGAAAACATGGACGTCCGTTAATAATGAAATGTGTAGCGGAACAGACCTCGGCCATTTAATAGATGACATTTTGTACGACTAAATTTTGATTGAGATGTGCTATTCTTATGGGATTTTGAGACTATTGAATGCTCACATTCAGCTAACAGAATGTACTGTATATGTGCATGTGTTTGCACTTGTGTGTTTCATCAGAGGGATCAAGATTTTTTTTCCCCCCCTCTAGCGTGACCCCTTTCTCTAATCCTCTGTAGGATAATCTTTTTGTTTTTGTGGGAACACTGTATGCCATTTTTATCCCGGCTGAAAAATCGGCACCCACTTTTCCACCAGGAAACATAGACACTGTAGAGGCACACTCGAACAGACACTGTGAGAAACGTCACACATTTACTGGGTCTAACATGAACTCTAAAACCACACACTGTTTGAATAGAGAGTGGTGTATTTCAGAGAATCAGATTCCTTTGTACAGTTTCCAGCCTGGTTGTATCTTTGCCCCTCACTGTGAAACCTGCAACCTTGTACTCTGCTTCATTATCAGAGCGAGCAGTGCTGCATGTTTTGCCTGATAAACTGTCCTTTGTCTCTTTTAAGCTGCAAATCAGGTTATTATAAAGATTAATTGTTGCATCATTCCTGCCCAGGTACCGAGGACTCTGCATGGCCCAATATTTAACTTACTTGCATAAAAGCATTCAGCACTTTTGAATAATTTCATTTATTGGTTAAAATGTAATCTTCCCTGTTTATTTAAATGTTCTCTTCTCTGTGTTTGCTCTTGATTTGTGCTTCACTTCAGGCTGATTGCTTCTCCTCATAATTAAAAGTCTGGTGCATGCAGGTGTAGGTGTAACAGAACAGCCTGTGCATGGTTATGACTTCACTTTAGCTCTCGCCTACACTGCTGTGCAGTGTGAGGGAAGGAAATGGTAACAACTTTTGTAATTATGCATCATTTATAATCTACTTTGACTGATTGCTTCGGGTAATCAGTGGGTGGTTAACAGCTTTAGTTGTTATCAAACCTCAAATGTTACGTATGTGTGTTCAGGCCTGCGCCGTCTTCCATTGACGCCATGGGAGAGCAATGTGGTGAACCGCCTGCAGCAGCCAACGCACTCCTACCTGGCCCGCAGTCGCAGTGCCATGAGTCTGTCTGGAGAGCAAACAGGTAACACACACACACATCCCTCATAAGAGACACCCACTCACCCCCACCTCCAACACACGAAATGATAAAAAACTGCTCATAGTGCTCAAAGTATTTATGCCGTTTATGTCTGTCTCTTGGCCAGAATAGTTTCAAATGTTAATCAGATTTGGCCATACTTAAAGCATTATACCATCTAAAACTTCCTTCACCAGCCTGTATCAGGCACTCAAAGCTGTCACACACACACACACACACACACACACACACACACACACACAGACACACACACACACACAGGGGTCTAAACACGTTAGCTTTTCAGGAAGTATTCTCCCATTGATATCATTCCCTGTCCTCCTCTTGTTACCACTGCACCAGTGATTTAAGATTTTGCGTGTGAATTGTGAAGTTCTACTTTTCCTGACTGATTTTACAGCATCTTGTTGTTGCCCAGCAACTCTGGCCCTCTGGCCTACTTCTTCCTTTTCCATTGCTTATAGGAAGCTTGTTTTTCTCTGTTTTTTATGTTTTTGAATAATCGTTCTCTTGCTCACGCTCACATACACAAGCACTCACTGACCGGCACGCAACACAATCACTCTGTTTCTTATTTTACTTTCTTTTACCCTGCACACATTTCTACATTCAGTGTTGTCCACAGTGTTTGATGAGTGTACCTGTTGTATGTGTTTTGCATATCATGTTGCATGCTCAGTTCCTGTGTGTGGTGTTGAGTCTAATGTGTCTGTTAATAGTGGTTTATTCTGACTGAATGACAAAGTAGAAATGCTTCCACCGCTGGGACTTCTTTCAGCAGGGAATGGTTTACCCAAACACCCCTGTTTAGACGCGTCTAGTATAATACGAATGCAAAGTAAATATAAACTATTTATTTTTCTGTATTTTTTGAGGATTTATAAGTTGTTAAAGTTTTTCTTTTTCTCAGTTTCTAACCTGATCAATCAGCGCCACTAAATCTTTCTCTTTCTCATGAATTGACTTTCTTTAACGTACAATGCTTAAGTGGTCGCAGTATGTTAACAGCCGTTCTTCCAGTTAGCAGCACTAATACTTTCTTTCTCTTCTTCTCTTTCCACCAAAACCTCTCTCCATTCCCGTCACTCCTCCGCTGGTCTTCCCAAACCTCTTGGCTTCTCTTTATTAATTTATCTGACATCCTTCTCATCCCTTCCTCTCCTTCCTCATCTTTTGCTCCTGTTTACCAAACCCTTACCAATGCTCCATAAATCCACACGCTGTCCTGGTCCATTACTGTCCTCAAAACACTCCAAAACTCCCACCTCGTACATCACCGTAGCCATGCCTGTGTGTCCTCGCTCAGTGTCTTGCCACCCCATGGGCTCCGTATCCTTCAAGGCTCTGCAGGCCCAGCCGCTCCCTCACTGCCGCAGCCAGGAGAGGAGCCTCAGCAGGGAGACGGCCTCGTCCTCCTCCACCACCCCACGCAGGAGGACCACCGGAACCACACAGGTAGGTCATGTCATTCACCTGCACGTGTTTGACTGTATATCTAGAAATAGTGTTTAGGATACTTTAGACAACTGCAATATTGTCAGAAATGTAAGTGAATAATCTACTTACTATAATCTATATACTTATCTTTGGTTGGTTGTTTTATTAGGTTCAAGCACATAAGTCATGCTCCTCTTCCTCATCTTTTTTTATGTTGATGATGTTCCAGATCAGTCAGACACAATATATCAGAGTATCTGTCTTACTCTGCTACACACACTAACACACACACACACACACACACACACACACACCACTGCACCCTCTGTCCATCTGTCTGCTGCTCTGTCACAGCTTATGCCATTAAGGACTTAGAAGGAGGGCATCTTCTGCACACACCGACCCACAGACACATGCGTGCATGCACCCACACGCATTCACACCAGACACAGTCCAGTCAGATACAGTTATACGTATGTGTTGTAGTGATTTTTATCTTAATCACAGCGTTGTTGTCCATTAATATGACGGTGCTCTGTGAGGGTTTGGTTTCCTGCACATCAGACTGTCATCTAAAAAAAAATGCAGATGACAGACACCTTCTTAGTTGGTTTGATTTTTAATTTTGGAGGTTATGCAAAGGTCAGAGGTAATGCACGGCGACAGGAAGGCAGTCTGAGTCTAATCCTGTTACTAATCATCTTCTACTGCTGTCAGTGGGCCTCCTGGCTCTGGGCACTGTCTGTACCACCTGATTACTTAGCGTGTCACTAAGGGCATTTTTTGCAACGTGCTATTTCCGTAACGTACCTGGCTCCTGATTAAGAGGGAAGAAAATCCAGTTTCCAGCTTGAATAATAATTTGTTTCCCCTCCATCTCCTGCACCATCAGCGAAAGGACCGGGACAATGTCAGGAAGTCGTGGAGCAACCTGTCACTCCCACTGGCCCCCATTCTGACTCTGCCCCCCAAAAAACGCTCATCTTCTCCAGGCAAGAAGAACAGCAAAGTGACAGCACCCTCTCCTGGCAGGTGGGAGAACTGTTTCTCTGACAGCTCATGAAATAAGGAGCACAAGCAGATTTGTGACAGATTGGACAACACTTGGTAAGAGAGCAGCATTTGCTCTTGTTTGGGCCAGCACTCTGTAGCCAATCGCTGCTTTTCCTTCCTGCACACAGGCCTCCACAGAAGACAGCAGGGCGTCCTCCGACCCCCAAGCTGCTTAAGTCCCCGGGGGCGGAAGACCCCGGAAACCTTCGTCCTGTCAGAACCACACCCGAGAACCCCAACTCGTCAACGCCCACCAGAGCCCAAGAGGACGAGGAAGAGCAGGTCCTCAGTCCTCCTCAGCCTCGACCGCAGCCGCTGGGTCAGAACAAGACCGCGAATGAGCAGACACCAGCAGCACCAACAGCAGCCAGCGGTCCGTTACCACCCTCCAACCACTTTGACGTTCACATTATCATGCAGCCTGGATGGTTTGCAGTTTTTTTTTAATGAGTCACTTTATAAGATACACTGGTCAAATTTTCATTTATGCCCTCTAGAGAGTATAAGCAGTCCTCCAGCCCACAAGCCTTCAGCAGGCACCACAGATCCAGAGGAGGCGAGTCGTATCCTGACTGAGAAACGACGGCTGGCCCGCGAGCAGAGGGAGAGAGAGGAAGAGGAGCGCAGGCTACAGGAGGAGCAAGGAAGGTATGTGTATGATCTCTAGAAAGCTGATGGATAATACTGGAGGAGTGTGTGCGTGCATCATTGACTTTAAATCATTTGTGTGTGTACAGGTTGGCAAAGGAGGAGATGGCTCGCCGAAAGGCAGAGGAGCGAGCGAAGAGAGAAGAAGAGGCTCAGCGGCAGGTGGAGGAGAGGAGAAGGAAGGAGGAGGAGGAGAAGAAGGTGGAGGAGGAGAGACTTCAGAAAGAGAGAGAGGAGGCAGAGAGACTCCAGAAACAGGTCAGAGGAAGCGTACACACGGACCCACGATTTCTGAACTAAAGACTAAAGACCCATTAAAGAAATCAGTTGATCTCACAACATAAAGGTGTATGTGTGTGTGTGTGTGTGTGTGTGTAATAGAAAGAAGAAGAAGAGTCTCGACAGAGAGAGGAGGCCGAGCGACTGAGGCAGGAGAGAGAGAAACACTTCCAGAAAGAGGAAGCTGAACGCCTGGAGAGAAAAAAGGTGACACATGTTCACACACACACACACGTCATTTTCATAATATCCCTCATGTACAGTGCATGTGAAAGCTCTTTTTTTCTAATCACTAGCGCCTGGAGGAGATTATGAAGAGAACAAGACGTTCAGACACAGCAGACAAGGTAAAGGCTAAAAGAAATGTGGCATCTGACTAATAGTGGAGAATCACTTTTGTTTTTGAGTCTTAATTCTCTTTTTCTTCTGTCCCACTTGTAGAAAGTCATTCCTAACAGGAATGGAGACAATGCAGGTAAATTAATACCTGTAAATGAATAAAAAGACCTTTTTTTTGTAATCATACCTTTTATTGTTGGAATGGCCACTGTAATTGTTCCCATAATGCTGTTTCTGACTGCTGTGTGTGTTTTCTCTCATCATCATCAGCCTCTCCTGCTCCATCTGCAGTGACTGTGTCACCGACACACAATAGCAACGGCAACAGTCGGCAACCCGAGCCCAACCCAAACCCCAGCGCTGCAGCCCTGAGCCATCCTGACGAGAGGTACACTTGTTGGCCAGCAGCACAGCAAATATGTTAGAATTTGTCACATTATTGTTATCTACGACTGTAACAAGGAGTACATTTTTAAAATTCACTTTTCCGTCCCTGTATTTCTCTTCTTTCCAGGGAGAACGGGGAGTTTGAGGAGGTGATCGTACTGCCTTCACATTCCAGGTTGTCTCCTCCTGAGGGAGAGGAGGAGCAGCATCAGCAGCAGGAGGAGGAGAGAGTTCCTGTCGTAGCCTTCAGGGAGAACGGTCTCCTAAAGCCTCTGAGTGGAATAGAGGATATATCAGCCCAGCAGGGACCAGGTCAACAAGCATCCTCTTTCTGCTTTGCCTCTGGTTCTTTTCTTTGTCTTCCTTTACTACACCTTTTTCTTCCTCACTTCATTCTCTCGATGAAGTTATAGAGAATGTCAGTCACTGTGGTCGATCATCTTACATTACAAATCTGATAAAGTTGATACTTCTACTCAGCACTCGGGAAAGTTACTCCTCAGTCTGTGAAAAGTGTTATATATTGTCTTCTGTGGCTCTGGAGGGAGCTCTTTGAAGCCTGTGAAAGTAACCCTGATCAATTCTTAGTGATCACATTTATATTGATTACATCAGTGGGTTTACATCAGCTTGAGTTTCAGAAAAAATCCATAATACTAACTTGTGCCATGGAGTTTGAAAGATGTGGGCATTTACCAGGTAGGGAGGGTCTAACGACACGTTACAGCATTGCATTGTGGGGAAATGTAGTTGATTAAGAATCAGGATATCTTGGCCTCTGCTGCATTGATTTAAGTCCCCCAACTTTTACTTTCACAGATTTTGTATATTGAAGCACGAAATAAGAATGACAGTTGGCAGCAACAGAAATGTGGCATTTTAATATGATTGAAAATGGTGATTACAAGATCTACCTTGTAATGAGGAAGTGTAGGTGTGTCATTTTTACATTCTGTGATTCATCCATGTTTATATTTAATTATCCACAGACCCAATGAATCTGCACTTAAGCCTATGTTTTTATTGCTTTTCTGAAGATAACTGCAAGTTTCTACAGCAACTTTATCACATTTTCTGTTTTCTCATGTATGCTGCCTGACTTTTATTTAATTGTTCTGTGTCTTTCTGCTCTTCATCCACCCTTTACTCTCCGTACGCTGTACCCTGACTGTCAGCTGGAGTGGGCAGTTGGCTTAATTTACATTTAGATTTACATTTATGACTTTTGGTAGACGGCTCCACTCAGAGCAACTTGAAAATATTAGTTTTCAGTCTCATGAAAACACCATCACACCAATTCAGAATAGATTTTGGAGTAATCACATCATCAGAATGAGGGACTAACTAACTAACTGATACAGATTTGACATTTTCCTTACTTTACAGAGGTGGGTCTTTTTGTCAATCTTAGCCTTCACATCTAATGTTTTTTTGTTTTTTTTTCTTTGTTTGTTTGTTGCCCTTGGTTTTTAGATGTTGCCTGATCCCCTGCGAGACTGAGATTATTCCCCACCCAGAGAGACAGGAAGAGAGGTGGTCAGAGAGAGGCGAAGAAACACAGAGCTGTTGGACTGAATCAAAGGAAGGACTCACAGCACCAGAGGTTTACTTTCTCACCCGCCCGCGACAGCAGAGCACCGCAGCCATTTCCCAAAGATGGTGTCTCCAAAGATCTCCCTAAAGCATCTCCAGAGAGAAGTTACTTTTCCCTCATCAGACTCTCTGCGGGAACAGATCGTCTCTCTGTCTTTGACCATGTTTACACTTGGTCATAATGTTTGTTCTGTGTACAGCCACAACTACCCGATTCTGAAGTGAATGTCCTGAAATCACGGGAGGGCATTGAATCTTTTGACTCTCGTTGTGTGTGTGTGTGTGTGTGTGTGTGTGTGTGTGTGTGTGTGTATGTGTGCGTGTGTGCGTGTGCATATATGTGTATGTGTGGATGACAGACTAATAGTAATGTCAGTGAGATCAGTCATGATACTTGAAGATATTTCTGTAGAACTATTGTAATCAGACTGACTGAATCAGCAATGTGACGTTATAACTGGAATTCGCACGGCAGACTCAGAATTTTGAGGTTTCATTAATTCGTGTGCTCTCTTTAACTGGAACCTCATTATTCTCACGTTTCAACGTCTCTTTTGAAATGTTGCAGAAGAGATGGGATGTAGGAATGATATCAGTGCATGAAGTTGTATTAAGACTACAGGAAAGGCTCATGTGATGTAAAAATATAATTTGCTGTGTCTACAGTGTTTAAAACTAGAGGTTATTATTGGGGTGAGGCAGCAGTTTTGGGAGTTTAAGTTAAATACTGTTTTCTCAGACAACTGAGAATTAGGGTGTAAACTACTGATTTCTTGTTTAGTTTTATTTAATTGCTGTACAGATAAAATGTGATTCTTTGTTTTGTCCTCATCCTCGTCTTCACTTTCTGTTCAATTTGAGAAAAAAAAAAAAATCTGCTTTGATGTTAAGTACTGCCCTTTCCTTTCACTTGTTTACCCTGTTAAAGCTGCATCCTCCACCCTGTCACACTGCCAGTGAGCAGTGTCAGAGGACCTCGCTGTAGCTTAGCCACCTTGTGTTTGAAGTTGTTCTTTGTTCTGGACGAGTACAAAATGGATGGAAATAATTTACTGGTGATGTTAATTTTGAAATAATCTCATTAATTTGATCTTTTTTTGAATAAGAATTTAAGAAGAAATGCTGCTAATTATGATGTTCCTTTGCCTTACTGCATTGTAGAGGATGAGGTGACTTGTCTACACTGTCTCACTGAAATGAAAATATGCATTCCCTTTATGAGCTTTGACATTCTGGCCACACACTCAAACTCTTCCATTTGATTTATGTTAAAGTAGATCATGATGAAATGTTGTCAGTTATGTGAGTTATGTGAGGAGCTCTAATGTCAAATAAATGGGTCTTTTCACTCAGGAAAGACAGAGGTGGGATTTAAGTAAAACACTGGAACTCAACCTTTATACCAACGTGATCCCCACTTCAAACTTTGTCATACAACTCCCAATAATGCTGCTGTCTTTGTATTTGGTTCTCAAACCTTTGCACTTAGTTTCCTTTGTTTGAAATCTTGCAGTACCACCGAAATAAAGGAAACTTGAGATTATCCATATCTGGGTTTTGAAGAGCTGGTTTCTGCCAGTAGTACATAGCATGCTGTTATCAATATGGTAACTTGATGTAGCTTGCGAAGAAATTGCTTTAACACAAGCAAGATCTCTTGTAAAGTATATTATACATAGATATCCTATAAATTATGTATAAAAGGTTGATATATTTTATTAAGACTGACCACAAGGTTTTGAAAACTAACAAGCCCTTTACTTCAGATGACACGGGGCAGTGGGATAAGATCTTTGAACAACTGTAAAACTGAAATCTTTGTACAACTGTTCCAGCTGAAATGTTTGGCAAGAAAATAAAACTTTGAATTGATTACCTGTTCACTGATGTGATCTTGCAATTTTGTTTTCCTTTTCCTGAGACAAGGATGGATAACAGCAGAGAAATAACAATTGCAGTGCAGATGGACATGTAATGTTTTGTACATTTATTTCAGGATAAATCAATACAACTACTAATAAACAGCAGAACATACAGAAAAGTACTTTTCCAACTATTAAAGAAAAGTAGCAAACACTTCTATGCCTTTTTTTTTTACATGTAGGGAGAAAATGGACAGCTTGGACAGAGACAGATTTGGAGAAAACATTTACACTTAACGAGAACAATAGATAGAAAACAGCATTAAGTCCAGAGAAAACAATGTTTCTTAAGTGTGTGGGACTCCATTCATTAGGATAGAACCTAAAATCTGAAGTGCTTCTGAGCATGTTGATACTTTGAAGTTCTGACCTTGCACACAAAGGCAGGTTGTAGTCCTGCATGTGCTCACATCCAGTAATGTCCACTCCAGTAACATACTCAGCAGTAGGGAGCAGTCTTTAGCACAAATCTGTGACACTGAGTCTCAGAATCAAACTGCTCCAGTTTCACCAGTAGAAGGTTTTTGTGAGGAAATTGGCAGCAGCGTTGAGCCAGTTCCCACTGGAATCTTCTTTAGCTGTAGTGCGGGAAATTGCACGGTCAACCTCCCTCTCTGGGCTCTCCTCTTCCTCTGGCAGGTAGTCTGGTAGAGCTGAGTTTTGCTGCACCTTCACCCCAGATGTGTTTAGAGGGATCAAAATCTGAAGAAGGCATAAATAGAAGATAGAAAATTATTTGTTTAAAACTTAAATGTGAACGAGCACCCAAAATTGTTTAGCTGTTTTTCAGTGGATCCTCAAAATGTGTGCTCAGTGTTCACTACCCACCTCTTCTCCTGCTTCATTCTTCACCACCTGTTGAGCTGACATCACCTTAGTGGCAGCGATGGCTGAGGCCAGACTCTGCGAATGAACAGAAGTCAGGGAAGATAGTGTCTGGGATTAATGGACATTAATCAGACAAGATGCACAATTTTTTATGCCTGATTTAATGATAGCAAATGTTCATCTTTGTTACCTCAGTGGACAGGTCAGAGCGGATACGGACAGTGCACCTCTTTGAGGCCATCTGGAAAGTGAAGCTTATCACTCCTTTCACCTTCAGAAGAGCGTCTTCACACAAGCCTCGCTGGTCCTTGTTAACAGGAGGAGACTTTTATTAGTTAACTTGCTGGAAATAATAGCAATAGCAACTGTCATGCATAGGAGTATGTGATTGACATCCAGCCTACTCACAGTGCTGTCCAGCCCCTGGATGTGCAGAGTGACAGATTTGGCCTTATTGTTGGAGGAGTTGATAAAGAACTGGGATTTCTTTCTCCTCTCCCTCTCAGGTATGTGGGACACAGGATTAGCAGGTGCACACAAAATGTCATACACCTCCTGGGCCAGGGCTGTGATGTCAACAGATAGGCCATCCCTTTATGGAGAAACATATTTAATCATGTCAGAGTTGACTAAATGTCACATGTAGACAAATGTATAACTACAAAGTTAAAATACTACATTTTTTTGACAATAACATGAAATATTAAATGCATATTACAAAAACATGTAGTATTATTGGAAATTGCATGTAGAACCACGAAAAAACACTAAACAATTGTTCAGGAAACGTATACTGACCAACATGTAAGAATCACCAAGAAAGCCTGAAAAACATTATCTCCTCACCTTGCCATGAGATTCTCCAAGCTCACCATCATACCCAGTTCATTCTTCATGGTGGGGATGTTGGGAGGCAACTCAGCCAAGTAACGCAGGGTCTGAGGACACAGATGAGAGACAGATCGTGGATTGATATATACACAAATACATCGAGTTATCCTGTTCTAACTTATTAAGTAAGTGGTCCCAACTTACTAGCTTCATTATTTTCAACTGTATCATACTAGTGTTTATGAATGTTTTCATTTACTAGAAATAGTGTTACATATCATTATCAAAGACTATTTTCCAAAGCATGAAATAAATGCCAATTTAAATACGTGTATGAACTTTTCATACTACCTTTTAAGCTGTCATTCTTTTGTTTTGTCTTTCAGTAAAGCAGGAATGATCAACTTACTATTTATTGACTTTGGTATGGTATTGTTACTGGAGAACGGTGACATTATCTGAGATCTGTTGCATGAAGAACAGCTTTGCATTCGTAAACTGAATAACGCTGAAAAAACCGATCAACTGAGGAATCCAGTTGATAAACTGATCAGTCATCATTCTCTAGTTGTAGCTTCTTCATTGTGAAGATTTACTGCTTTTCTGGTTTATGTGATAGTGTACTGAATATTTTTGGGCTATTGACTGTTCGAACAATACGTTATAGGATGTCACCTTATGATTTTGGAAACCGCACCAGATCAGCCTCTTCCACCCACCTGTAGAGTTGCGAGCAAAACTTCAGGGTTCCTGTGGTCGAGGAAGAGAACCAGCCCAGGCAGACAGCCCTGGTCCTGGACTATCACTTCTCGGTTCTGAGGTTCGGAGGCCAGGTCCCGCAGCTGACTCACCACTGACAGTGCGTCCATCATCTTAGTTAAATGGACCAGGCCTGAAATTGGAAGTGACATTTTTAGTTCAATTAACACTTAACGTTAAAGTCATGGTCGATAAAATATGTGTTGGACTTAATTTAAAAGTGGGAACGAAGCTAGTTAATAAAAGTTACATTAAAGTTAGCCTGTCAACTTAGCGTGTTTGCTAGTGCTAACGTTGTGGCTAGCTAAATAAGCTAACTACTTTTGGAACGTTGGAAAGCGGAACACTGCACAAATGTCAATTTACTGTGTTACACCGTTTGGACTTAAAACTGTGAACTTACTAAAAATTGTGTATTACAAGTACCATAATAGTACGATAAATGTAGTAGTGTAGCAGTGATATTCAGTTTACTTACTTAGGAAAAGAAGAAGTAGCTCGTGTACAAAAATACAAATTTGGTGGTAGGTTTTCACGGCACGCAATTGGTCGGCTAGCCGTTGGCCACCTTGCACAGTCCTGCGCTCCTATTGGCTTCTCGTACGGGCTCAGTATCAACAGCCAATCAGAGAAGGCTTTGCTGCTGCGGCTTTATTTGACTTCACAGAGCCGGTCCCTGGAAGCGTGAGCTGAGAGGGAAGCTGCGAGTTATTAGTATTCATCTGCAGTTATAGTTTATGTTGTTGACTGTGAGGAGGGTTTCGGATAAATGTAGCTACTAATGCGCGTTTTGACACGACAATGAGTTCACTGTAAGTATACATATTTCCGCTTATCCCGCATGTTTCACCGCTGCATGCTTCTTATACTGCGGTGCCTGTGCGGAACTAATGTTGCCTGCACCGTCCTGAACAAAAGGTTTCTGTCCTTATCTTAAAACTAAAACCCACTGTGAACCATTCGTAATGCTGATCCATTACGATATCGCAGCCGAGTCAGCATCCAGCAGTACAGAGGGAGACAGCTGCCTCCCTGAGCATCAGTGTGTGTGATGCCACCAGGTGACAGTTTGACAGTTCGATCAGTAATGGCTTCCAGGGACCGCGTAGAGGTTTTGTTTTAAACATCACATCCATATGAATTTTATTTGAATTTAGAGCCTCCAGCTCTAAAACTGGCCCAGTAGGACTGCAATGGGCGTTTTTCTGTGCGTGCAGGTTTTCCTATTATTAGTTAACTGTCTAATGGGCAGATGTTCAGAGATTTAGCTGAACATTATCATTTTGCTTTGCATCTGTTGTAGGTTGGATATCTCTTACAAACCGACATTTAAAGACAGTTTGATTAACCTGTATTTATTAGTTGACTAATCAATCAGTCGATCAAAAGAAAATCGATCACAGACACCTTGACCAAAATCATGATTCCATAGTGATTTTCCCTCTTTTACATAATGGTAAATCTAATGTTTTGGGGTTTTGCACTGTTGGTCATAAAAAGTAAGATACTCAACAATGGTACCTTGAGCAAAACAGTTTTCTGATGTTTTATACACCAAAGAATTACGGTAATCGAAAAAAAAAATCAACAAATTATTTGATAAAGAAAGTAACGTTGGCAAATCAAGTGTATTTGAATAGCAACTTCCAACAACAAGGCAGTTTAAAGTGTTTGACATTAGGGAGGAGAAGGATTAAAAGAAAAATGACAATATAAAAACACTACAGTCTTAAAATAATAAAATAAAATGGAAGATAAAAAAAACACAATGAATAAGAAAAATACAGCTTACTCAAAGTGCAAGATGTGATTGAATAGAGGCGAATTTAATTAGAAAAAATGGGAGTGCTCAACAAAAATGGTAAGCCTCATGCCTTGATACTCAGTGCTGCCTCTCCACTTTCAGTTTCCACTTCTGAGTATAGTAAGCAGACCTGTTAAGTTTAAAGGTGGCATTCAATTGATTATTATGTAATTGTCCTAATGTGGATGTTAGAATTTATGTCCATTACTACATTAAGATATTTGCCTCGATTTGTGGCCTTAAATGTATAAGATTCAAGGTGATTATTGACTATTAAGTGTTCTCTTTTATAGCTAAGTGTTGTATGTTTTGTTTTGTTTCAGGTGTTAAGTATGTGACTTAGTCACATCCCTCTGTGTTGGCCTCTTACCAAGTCAGTCAGCAGAAAGAGGAGCTCTGCAGTCGTCAGCTGGTGCCGGGAAAAAGTCCTTCCAATGTCTTTAGTAGAGGATATTCTGGATGTGCTGCGCATGGTCCTGGAGTACTTTGGAGTGCCTCCAGACATGGTAAGTGCACAGACACCCTTCTGTTATAACTGCTACTAATTCTCAAGATTGGGCCCAGGGACATCAAGGGGCTCACTAGTTGTTTTTCATATGTGCAAAGAAAAATCACTAATAGAGTTACTTTACTTCCTAAAAGTTAACTGACTGAGTTAATTTGTAAGGTTGGCAATTTTCAGGCAAGGTTGTGTTTTATCCATTTATTTATCCATCTTTTGTTGTCTCGTCTGTAGCTGGTTCCCGTGTGGGACAGTCAGCTGTGCGGTCAGTATCGCAGCATTGTGCGGATGATAGGGACAAATCTCCCACTGACACCAACACCACGTGTCCATTTTCAGGTGCTGTACGACTTCCTAATAAACTGAAGATTATTTCTCAAAATCATTATTTTTTTTTCATTTTCTACTAGGCAAATCAAGTGGAACTATGTGCTTTATATTAACAATGTTAAAGAAAATATTTGATTCTGATTTATCACATTAATTATAATTCCTAACTGACAAAAAGTATAGACAATCACCTAGTCTATACTTTTTGTCATGTAGTCAGTGTCAGAGTGTGTAATCCCTTCTTGTCCTTGTTTTGCCTTAGATCCCTCTGCTCACCTACAGACCCTACGGATATGTCGACATCACCGCGGACACACCAGCCATCCCTTCATTCGCTGACGTCCTGTGGGTGTTTGAGGATGAGGGGGAGAGCTTTGCCAAGACAAGGTAGGCATATTAATAGACACTTTTTCTATTTACACACCACCTCCTCTTCCTGGTTGCTATGAAAACACAATGTAAACTTAATTTTAGGCATCCTGTCTGAGCAGGACAACGCTGATCGTTGTAAAGAAAAAGCTTTTTTTTTGCGTTTTTGTAAACTACAGAGGAAAAACAAAATAATATGGTCAGAAAGTTGTTGTTTTTTTTTAAAAAAAAAGGGCAAAATGTCTATGTACAGGAACCATTTACCTCCAAAGAAGCCAAGTACGGTAAATCGAGAAGTGGTGAGATACCCAGGTCTGGCCCCGAAACAAGCCCAGAGAGGCGGCAGACCTATAAGACAAACAACTGATCCAGATGCCCTGAAGAAGATCAAAGCATTGGAGAGTGAGCTGCTCAACCTACGAGCCCAGATAGCCATGATCGTTACTGCTGCTCCAGCCTCAGGTACACACTCTTTGTACCTTATACTTCAACTTATCACAAAACAAATGTTCTCAGTTCATCAAACAAGTGCGATATTCTGTTTTTTGTCTTCCAATATGTTTCAGGTCTGACTGAGTGTCAGAATACCCCAGGCACACCTTTGAGGTCTCCTCACCCTCCACCAGCCCTCACCTCCACACCTCACAGTGCTGCTCCTCCACCACCACCGCCGCCTCCACCTCCACCTCCTCCTCCTCCTCCCTGCTCTGGCTCCTCCACTGAGACTTTGTCTGTATTAGAGGTGATCCGCCAGCGCAGGAAGAATGAGAAAGACCTTGATAAGGGTCAGCTCAAGCTCCAGGGTTCAAGCCTCAGCGAGGGGTCAGACGTTAAAGGGATGCCCTCCATGCTGGAGGTTCTCAAGGACTTAAATCAAGTTAAATTGCGCTCTGTGCAGAGGTAGGCATCAAGACTGACAGTCAGTCATTTTGATTGTTATGTTATATCAATATTAATATTCTAGAATATGATGGTTTATGTCTTAATGTTGCATAAATCTCTCCTCAGTAACTGTCTCATCACAAAATATCTCTCTGTCACTTCCCTCCAGATCACCAGGGGGAACACCAGTCAGGAGGAGACGCAGTAAGGGAGGAGCAGCGTTGCTTAATGACCCAGCGGCTCTTATTGCAGAAGCACTAAAGAGAAAGTTCGCCCAGCACCGCCACAACAATTCCTCTGACAAAGAGAATTCACTGGAACTCTCACCTTTCGGCAGTCCAGATTCACCTAAGGTTTGTTTTCCACCGAAAACTCAACTATGCTCACTATTTTTCGCAGAGTAGACAATTTGCTTCCTGTTCACATCAGCTTGCGCATGCCCAGTGTACGTGATTGCTCACGTATTTATGCGTTTTCAGGTGTGATAGTATGGACGGAGCGAAAACAGTTGCTTGGACAGAGATTGTTTTTGTTCGAAAACACTTTTTAAAATGAAAACATACTAGTGTGGACATTGCCATAGTTGAATACCGGTCACTGTGTCTTTTGTCTACGAAAGACTTGTCAGCTAATAGATGTACACCAGGGCCAGATACATGTCTCTGTAGCAAAGTGCCTTTTTTTAAATGTTGTCCACCCGCTTATCGTGTGGCTAAAACCGAGCTTGCAAGATTTGCCCTGTCTGCAGTGCTGCTAACCTGACTCTTCTGTTCCAGGTTCCTCACCACACCAGGCGCAGTCAGGGACGCCGCCACCTTTTATCCCATTAAATGATGACTCCTCACCCCTAAAGGCCATTCACAGCTCCCACAGATGTGCCTCACAGATGGATTACTACTGCAGCTATTCACATTTCATTTTTGTCTGTCTAATCTTTTGTTCTTCTAAAAATGTTTGTCTCACAGTGAACAAAGTGCTTGATACTGTTAAGTTTTTCTTCTTTCTTTCTTCTTCTTTGGGAGGTTTGAATGTATATGTATATTTGTTAAAGCTAATGCTGTAAACAAGGATTTTGGTACGGCCGGTTTTGTTTTTGTAAATTGGTGTCTTCTGTTTTCAGTGTTATTCACTGTGATGTCTTTGTGTGCAGAACTCCTTTTTTTAAAGTAGATAATGTATTTAAGTAGGTCTGCACTGTAGCGTGTAGCTACTTGCCTTCATGTTTCTAAAATCACTTTGTGAGGTCTTGATTCTTACCTCAATCAAGTGAAATGAACAACAATGTGTTTTGAGATTCACATAGCTCTATTCTATGCAACGGCTGTTTCAGGTTGTTTTATTTTATTAAAGTGTTCAAGTGCACTGATCATTTTTTGTTGTTCTCTTTTCATGTTCTCCGATAGTTCAGTTTGTGTCCAAATCCAGATAAAGTTGTAATTTTTGCATTTGAATTAGAGCTGAACAATATAGAAAAAAAATTAAATTACAATTATTTTGCAATTCCAATTTCAGTTGGAATGGTTGGTTTTGCATTTCATTTTCACTGTAAAAAATGATGTGATTTGCTTGGGTCCATGTTCCTTTACATCTGAAGAATATGATTTGTATGTTGGGGCATCTCTGTAGCACCGCAATGCTTCATTTATGGTATGTTGTGATACATCTGACTTTTATCAAAAAAGATTGTGCATGTCATTTCACATTGTCGTTTTTAAGAATATGTATGAATAACCAGATTACTAAAGTTCCATACAAACATGATATGAGCCACACTGTGAACAGAATTCAACTGGGATAAGAAATACTAGGTGTGCAGGACATCCATAATTGAAAGTCTTACATAATACCTGCACCTCAGGACAGAAATGACAGACTGGGTTGAAAAGGACACTCAGAGACACTCCTTCACAGATGATCGGAAACTTGACTTGACTTGATAGAATCACACAGGGATATTTATAACCTAATGTTCTTATCAAGCAATCAATGCTTAAAACCAGAATTGATTAGGTGTCATGTAAAGGTTCTAATTAACAGATGATGTGATACAGACAGGAAGTTGAGTGAAACTGAATAAAGTTGAATTTAAAATAATGAAATTATTTGAATTGTTATAAAATGTTGTAATGAAACAATTATTCCCCTAAGCGGCACTATTAGACTCTTGCCTGGGCACCAAAATGTCCAGAAACAATGCAGGTCTGCAGTAAGAATCAGTGATCATGGGCTGTGAAGTTAGAAAACATGAACCGACGGATTAGCAGTTGGTTTTGATCTTTTCATGGGATGTGTTGAAAAAATGAAAAATATTGGTGATGCAGATGTTACACCACTCAGACCGCAACGGTATGGTGTAGAAAAAGTTCAGTCTTTTATTATTCACTGGCAGGACTGGCAAAACATACAAGCTGTCAACGCAGCATCGGGCACACACCTTTTTTTCTTAAACAAAAGAATTGAATATTACTACATATCACTGAATGGCATGTTAAACAAACTCTTCTAAGAATGCACTATAACAAAACATTCCTTTCAGTTGCTACACAGACATTATCCTTAAAGATGTAAAGGTTTCTGACTAGAAGTATTAGAAATTTGATATTTTTTTGTTGTCATTTGAAATGTAGTACATAGTTTAGTGTAGGCTTAAAGGATTAGTTGATTCATTGATTAGTTGATTGAAAAAATCTGCAACTATTTTAATAAACGACTAATTGCTTTCATTTTTTAAACAAAACTGTCAAATAGTCTCTGTTTCCAGCATATGAAATTTAAGAGTAAATTTAAGTACGCCTTTACGATTTGTGACACTAAGGTACGCAAAAAGCCTGTTGAAAAAAAGAAGAAGAAGAAGAGTTCGACCAATCGCAGCGCCGGATTCGTTTCCCTTGGCTGCACCGGCTGCACTCACCTACGAAATTACTCATTGTGTAATGTAATTTCAAGTCACGTTAGCTAGAGTCCACAATTCGTTAGCAACGTTGTTTTGGTTTTGACCCTAACTGTAACCCATCTCACTCCGACTGGCTGCTGAGGACTGTTCTCTGAACTCCTTTGCAAAGGTAAACGGACTGGGGGAGATGTGCGAATTTGAGATTTTGAATTAAGTTAGCGTTAGCCATGTGATGAATGTGTAAAGCTAGCTTGCTTGTTCATCAGTCAATTATATCACGCTTGCTGTTGCAGGTGAGGCGGACCCTAGAAACTCTGCTATGTTTACTGTGTTTAATGCTAGTTGTGTCAGTAATTTAGCTGTACAATATCCCTACGATGTGATAACTTAGATAAATATAACAATGTTTCTCTTTTTTGTGGTTCATTTTCAGGTCTCCAGAAATGATCCTGAAGGCCCCGTTCGCCGAGGCCATCGACATGGAGTCGTCGGGCTGTGTCATGAAGGCAGTTGTTGGAACTTTGCTTTTCCTTTAGTTCACTGAACATAACTTGGTAAGTAATTTATTATCACTGGACCCTGCTGGCTTTGTATACTGTCCCTAATAGATCTAGAACTGTTGCACCAGCCAGTCTCAGATCACAGGTCTTTGGTTTTATTTCTGTAGTTTCGTCCATCATTCCTACCAGTTGTTTTCTGCGTCCATCACAACTTTAACTATCTTATCAATACATAAAACTTTTTTTTTTCTCCTTATGTCTGATTTATAGTAAGTCTTGTCTACTGTTGTGCATGACATGCTGGAAAAAGTTATATAGTATATTGTATAGAAAGACTTTCATATAATTTCTTTCTATGAATCAAGATGTTGACAGTGACAGTTTAAAAATTCACTGTATTTAGATGAGGAGGACCAGACATGGGTTATTGATATATGGGGGTGTGTTGAGCCCTTGAACGGGATGCTTAAAATGGATCCAAGAGGCAGGATTACCCCCAGTGAAGTGAATTTGTGTGTTTCTTTGTATGTTTAGATATGACTACTGACTATCAGAACAATAGACAAAGATTTGAACTTTGAGTAATGATTGTTTTATGGAGGATGTCCTGTTATTTAGCCATAACATTACGGATGTATTCAACAAAATAACACTTCAACTCAACATCAAGCATTTTTTATTTTAGGCTTTCATCAAGCAATAATATTAACATTAATTAAAGTGAATGTAAGCACCATGTAAATCTGAGAAAGGTATTACCTGAAATTTTTGTAATTTACTCTTTGCCTATAAAAAGCACAGCGATGAAAGACCAAACAAGAGTAGACTGATTAGATTAGAATAGAAGTATTTAAAGGACCAGTGGGTAGGATTTAGTGACATCTAGTGGCGAGATTGCAGATTGCAACCAACTGAATACACCTCCACTGGTGTAATAATTACTAGTAAATAATAATAATTCCTATAAAATGCAGATACTTTGCCTTTCTTTTGTATCTATTGACAAAATATTTTCTCTCAGCTTTCTGATCCATCTTAAGTTGTTTGTTTAAGAAAATTTATGTTTATTATTTACAGCTTATGGGAATGAAGTATCTCTCTTTTTGTAGTTTTTATCTGCCCAAGTACTATTAATAGTATTGAAATAAATACATGAATTTAACATTTCACAGATTTCAGTAAGTGATTTAGAGTTAGTTTAAACAAACCAAATCACAATAAATTCATTAAAATCCAGACTCAAAATGAGATAACAGCTATTGAGATCTGTGAAGCTAGCTAACTTTAGAGGGAGCTGTTTAGCTTTATTTGTTCATCATGAACTGATTTAGCTGCAGTCTTATGCAGCAGCAGCACTAAGAGTTTTCTAAGAACATTAATAGGTATACAAACACATTTCTGACCCTGAAAAATATTAGTAAATGTTCCTGAAAGAGAAATCTTTGGAAACAGTTTTTGTGCCTTTGATTAATTGTGGTTATGTCTTCTTTCATTAGCTCTGATGAAATCTTCTGGTGAACGTTCCCTTCAGAAGATTTCCTGAATAACTCCACCAACTCAGACTGCTCTGTACAAATTTGGGTGACAGCAGAGGAGGAAGTATTCACTAGCATCACCAGGTAGGCGACACACTTCTCACCATGTTTTTACCTTACTTTATTATCATCAACAAAGCCATCATATCTTCATGAGGCACAATCACATGTATACATGAGTTTTTACTGACTCATTGTAACTGTTGGTTTTGATTGACAGACACTCTGTATTGCATATATGTTTGAAACTGAGAGTAAGTGGTTTTGATGTCACAGCAGCCAATTGTGCCCATGATGAACAATGAGGAGCTGAGCTGAATAGAAAAATAAAATCAATTGATAAATCAATAAATTAAAAAAAAAAGAAAAGATCTTTGGAATGAATGTATTAGTAATCATAATTTTCCAATATATAAATAGTTACTGGCTTGTGTAATGTTAACCAATTTTGCACATTTTGTTATTTGTATAGAAAAATATCTATGGATGTATAATGAATCCAAATGTAAACAAATAAGTAATTTTACCACCAAAATTTAAACATTTTATTTTATTTTTTTTATTTTTTTTGTTTTGTGTTTTTTTTCCAAGTACTTTTTCTAAGAATCAGACGAACGGGATGAAAAAACCAAATCTAGCCCTCTGATTCAAGTTGAAGAGGTGTTTTCTCTCGTTGATGTGATGAAACTGCTCCTTGAAGGAGGAGTAATGTAATAAGTTTTCAAAAGTCGTTTTGTTTTTGTTGTTTTTATTAGGGCACCTCAAGCATGTGTATGTACATGGTTAGGTGCTTGAACTGGTCTTCCCAATGCATTAAGCATTGGGAAGCATTAACAGAGAGTTTTTTGAATGGGTGGACTGGATGCCTGATGGTTGTAGATGCCTCCAGTGAACCCTCCTCAAGACTCTGTGAAATAAAACAGAAGTTTAGAATGACTTAATTGTGCAGTTTCCAAGAGAAGGCAACAGTGATGAAGTCTGTGTATGTTTTACAGTTTTGAGAAGAGAGATCTACATGTATTACACAGCCATCACTCAATCCTTGTATTCACAGTGGTAATTAATGGAAAATGACTTAAATGCATCATTAACCAACACCCTGTTATAGTACTGCAATACCTCGCCAGACTGAAGTTTTTCTTACTCCTGCTGGTCTACCTCCATGGGAACTTCTTCATCAGTGGATATATCAGGTGGTGCCACATTGCTGCAGGAAGAACATATCTGCCTTTGATAAGTCATTCATGAATTGCTAAATTCTTTAGTCATGAGAGCACAACACAGTAATGCTGTATTCATGTCAGACTGGACTGGACTATAATTACCAGTTTCTGACTTTGACATAGTGTCCACATCAGTTGTAATAATGGAAGATTTCTCTTTCTAAGGGTTATTATTAAGCCTAAATGTAATGCATGAAATTTTGTCAATGCACAATATTTTTTACCCTCACAAATCCATTCTGTGGTCATATAATCATTTTGCGTTGTCCAGTGTGGTGGATGTTGCTCTTTTCTATTCCATATGACACAGATATGGCACAAATGTCTTTGAACTTGCTCCTGCCCGCACACCTGCCTTCCTACCTCTCTCCCCTTGTTGTTTACCTGTTCTGATTGCGTGTTCACCTGATTAAGCTGTGACCCTGATAATTGAATTGAAATTCCCTTAACTCAACTAGCCCTGCCTAAGTGCATGCAAAGGGACCTCATCTCTATTGTTTTGATCCTAAACCATGAGACCAAATTAATTAAATAAAATTGATAAACTAATTTAATAGCGTAATTAATTAATTTTTTAATTAAGTTAAATTTGAATAGGATAAAGATAGTAATGAATGACAATGGATAAAGAATTTACTTACGTTAGAGTCATGCTACATAATCAATAAAGTGACATGCTGTAAAAACATAGGCAATGCATTGTGGCTTTAACTCGTTCTTTGGCCTTTTTTTTTTTTTTTTTTTTTTTAAAGAAAACTTTCTGATAAAAGCATCTGCTAAATCAGTAAATGCAGGTCTATAAACAAAATCGAAGTTTACATTTTATTTTATTTTTACCTGCTGTTTGAATCCCCGATGGTCTCTGGATCTGCTCCATGGTGAGCACATTGGAACTTTTCCACTGAACTACAGTAAAACAGTAACAGTAAAACTTAAAATAAGTAAGAAAGTCAGTTCACATATTGCATATCCAAAGTGTAGTTGGTGAATGAAAGAAGGAAACCTGTGAGGGCCTTGTCCATCACGGGAGGCTCTCCCCTGTGTGGCATCGAGGCCAAGCAGCGAGTAAAAACAAACAATGAAAACTTCATAAAAATGGATCCATTGCAGAAAATCAGATTTGTAGTTCAGTTTTGAATGTGCATTTTAAGATATCTGATAGTAACGTCACCTGATGGGAAAAAATGGGGTATGTTCCTTTTTCTGTGACGATGACGCCACCAAATCCATAAGGATTATCCACACATTCTGTGGAAAGCTGTAATATCATCAGAAATGAACTGTGATTAAATGTTTCATCTAATGGCCCTGTTAAAATACCAAACGGTACCACTTTAACTGTACTTTAACGCTACATGCTAACAATGCTAACGTCTCAAACAAAGGAATACACTTGCTCATACGTGCACACTCGATTGTGCTTCAGTCAATTCACCAAGTCAACCTACAAAGAAACTTCCTAAACAGCAGCAATTCCATATACTTTACCAAATACTTGGACAACTATGTTCATTCCAGCCTAAAGTGTTTAAACTTACACAAATATTTTCATCTGTGGTCGCCATTTTTTTTTCTCTTTCCGTCAAACGTACTTGGCCGGAAATACGTGACACCAATGTAGTTTGAACGTACCACATTTATGTAATCCGAGCTAATAAATGTTCAGCAATATTCAGCATTTCTAAGTAAAGTTATTCAAATAATTATATGAAACACTTTGCTTGGCTTAGGTTATTTCTGATAACTTGTTAGGCTATTTTTAAACTAAAACATAATTTATTGTTAAAGTAACACTAAATGTGAAAAGTATGAAAGTACCTCTTTTCCTCTATTTAAAAAAAAAACTACCAAAACTAACTTTGAAGCACGTTTCTTACTAGACATTCCCTGTATGCTGATGACACATGATTTTTCCAAATTGAGTACAAACAATTGTTCATTCACTCCAAAACTCTAGAAAGATCATACCTTATTTCTTGAGGACCTTGTATAAAACGTGGATTATTTCGATTTTTCCTCTGGTCAAGTTAGTTCACATTGGTCCAAATAGAACAGAACAGAAAGCAGATAAATCACATTCATCCTTGTTGGTTGAATTGCAGATGCCTATGTTTTTTAGGTATCTAGATGTCTTCTCAATTATACCATCTGAGATCATTTCACTGCCCAAAAAGATGTCAGCTTTCTCTATGATGAGGAACAAAAATGTAACTTCTGTATAGTCCCTTTTGCATACCACAGATGAGCAAGTAGGGCTGTTTCACTTTTCATAGGAAACTTTGCATTGCACAGCCCAACGCCCACAAAACCAGAACGCTACGTTGAAGTTAGAGTTTTCACAGCTTTTGCAACGTATGGCAACTTCATGCTTCACTGATGTGGTAGACAGTTGTCAGTTGTATAACTGAATTGGTCGCTGGTCAGAAAAAAGCTAAAGGCTATAGTCTAACCATGATAAGTTTGAACATACACAAACAAATGCTTTCTACATGAAAACAATTATTGATTTGTTTTTTAAAGCAATGTAATTAGTTTTATTTAGAAAAATGGGTCAACAACTCATTGAGTAAGGTATAACATTGTGTGTTAGTGTGGTGTATGTTTTAATGTATTTAATAGTGTTTTAATATATATTAATAATAAATTATGTTATAAAACATACAGCACCATCTATCCCTATAGTGTCAAATACATAGTTGTCTACTTATGGTAAGAATGGCAAACTGTTAATAAATGACAGATGCATAATGGTGCATGGAGTGCAGATGTGACGATGATCTCAGTGCAGAACTAACCTGTGGTTAACCTAATTCTAACTCGAGCTTAATTCACCTCACTATGTGTTGAATAGTGTGTATGCAAAGCTGACAGTGTGAGAGATGAGACATTTAAATTTATCACAGTATTTACTCTTCTTATTTTTACCAAAAGAAACTAGGACTTGGATTTATGTTTTTTTTTTTAGAAAATTATAAGCCCACAGTGTCCCTCTCAGCATGTTATGGGCTCTCTGTGACCCCTTATTTAATTGATTAAAACTTTCTCACAGGGTTTATCAAATGATCACTCTTAAAAACCTCCATATTTGAAGTTTAAAAGATCCTATAAAATTGTACTGCTACAGCTTTTCTTTGAATTTCTACATAACAGGATCTATAATACGACATAAAATCATCGGCAGAATGTTTTTGCAGGCTGCTGTTACCACATCCTGTTGCAGTACAATAAAGAACAGAGAAATGTAGCATAGACATCCTGCTAAATGCTTGTATCTTCTATCATTTATAGAATGAGGATAAAAAGAGAATGAAATAAAGCTTTTTATAGTCTACTTTATTATCCATCCACTACTGCTGCCGTAGTGCAACATGCAGTATGTGCTGTACACCACCAGGTGTAAGCATTGCCTTTTAAGATAAACATTTTCGTATAATTTCAATTGGCTGAATTTTGTCTGAGTCCATTTTACAAATTAAAACTTTTAGTAATTATTTCAGCCAAAGTACCCTATTCTTAACGTCTTGTTTTATTCTGAAATGCTGACCACAGTGTGGGTGTGAGCAGTTTTTTTTGTTCCTCATGGTTACCACATGTATGTTTTTTAATATTTGCAAACTCAGCATATCGTGGTTTATTTTTTACACACAATGAAAAAATGATATAAATAAAAGGAAGTAATCACATGCTGTTTGCTTTCCAAATGCTCATGATTGCTGCAGTGTTGCTGTGTTGCTGTTGAGTCTGTTGAGTCCTGAATTTCATTTTCATCAGATTCTGCAAAGGTACAAACATGTAAACTATATGGATTTTTTTTTTCAGTCAACCACCTCCAGTGTAAGTGGACTGACAGCATGCGCACACACAAGCTGGATGGTGACATTAGGTGTATTTGTTGTGAGCAGCATGACACACTAATCTCTCAGCACTAATCAGGGATTACACTGTACACTGAGGTCAATAGGTCTCGGGAAAACACACATGCTGCACATATATGGGGTTAAATCCATTTTGTTACACAAACAGAAATGTATTCAGATTTGTATCTTCTCTGAGACTGAAGAAACAAAGTTTTCTACATCTAATTGAATGCATTTTGCTATGCTCATGTTGCATTTGCAGAAATGTTATGCAACAGTTATGAGGTATATCTATATCCTCACAGAACAATACAGACAGACAAACAAACACACATAAATATGATCTCTCTTTCTTCTTATCTGCAAATGGTCTAAATGAGTGATCAATAACTGCATGTTGCTGGTTGAGTAAATACTCTGCCCCACACAAGAATGTAAACAGTTACTTTCTGAATCAGAGCCTGTACGTCACCAACAGGCTCTGGTGATTTTCAAATGAGTCTTGAGATGTGGCATTTGAGTCTGTATTAACACATTTTGCAAGAAGTCTAGTTTTTTTTCTTATATGATGATGAAGGGAGGGGGTTTTTCACTAAACCTTGACACATCCTCTACTATCTAGTCTACTATAGAATTAATACTGCCAGAATTTTTGCATTTTCTGGGGACAAAACTGATGACATCTGCCTCCCAAAGATTTGCAACACTTGAATGCTCCCTTTGAAATTACCTGAAGATCAAAGTTGGGCTCAAACACTAGACTTTTTGTAATATCACAGAATAAAAATCAAAGGGAGAGTTTAACATTGTTGTGAGTGATTTGGATGCAGGAATCACAGATTTTCGTACTCAGCATCACATGCAAAGACGAATGTGTATGTGTTTTGCACAGTGGCTACTTGGACCGCCTCAAGGTATTAATAATTCACAATCGTTTTCTAACCATAATCAAGTGTTTATTATTGTAACCATTATGACAAAGCTCCCCTTACCTTTATTTAGGTAGTCATTTTAACTCAAAATCTGATGTTTCCCTAAACCTGACAAAGTTGGTTTTGCATAACATTAGTCATCATGTATTTTCTTGTAATGCATTATACAAAAAGTTTTGCATAATCAAATTACCATCAATAAATGACATATTACTAACTAATGCATATAATCACTGAGTACTTCATTAGGAACACCATACTAATACTGGGCGGAGCTTCCCTTTGGTCTCAAAACAGCCTCAGTTTTTCCTTTGCAAGGATTCCACAAGATGTTGGAAATTTTCATTTGAGATTCTGCTCCACGCTGACATGATTGCATCAAATCATCTCTGCAGGTTAGTCAGCTGTCAGCTAATCTGTTCTACCACATCCCAAAGGAGTTCAGTTGGATTCAGATCTGGTGACTGGCATGGTCACTGAAATACACTAAACTCACTGTCATGTTCATGAAACCAGTGTGAGACAACTTGCTCTGTGACATGGAGGGTTATGATGCTGAAGTAGCCATTTGAAGATGGTCAGCATCAATACCCAGATAGGGTGTGGCATTCAAACCATGATTGATTGGTATTAAGGGGCATGAAGTGTGTCAAGAAAACATGGCTCTACAACCTCAAGCAGTCTGGACTGTTGACCTGAGGCAGGTTGGCTCCATGGATTTATGCTCTTGATGCCAAATTCTGACCATCTGCTGCCTCAGCAGAAATCCAGATTGATCAGACCAGGCTACGTTTTTCCAGTCTTCATCAGTCCAGTGTTGGTGAGCCTGTGTCCACTGCAGCCTCAGATTTCTGTCCTTGACTGACAGGAGTGGAACCTGACGTGGTCTTCGGCTGTTAGCTCATCTGGCTCAAGGTCGCATGTGTTGTGGATTCTGAGATGCTGCTCTGCTAGCCACTGTTGTAAAGAGTGGTTATCTGAGTTACTGTAGCCTTTCTGTCAGCTCCAACCAGTCTGTCCATTCCCCTCTGACCTCTCATCAAAGCATTTTTGTCTCCATAGCTGCTGCTCTCTGGCTCTTTTTTGTTTTTTTCGTCATTATGAGTCAAGCTCTGTTGGGTGTGAAAATCCCAGGAGATCAGCAGTTTCAGAAATAGTCAAATCAGTCTGGTACCAACAGTCATGCCACAGTCAAAGTCAGTGAGATCACATTTTTTGTTCATTCTGATGTTTGATGTGAACATTTACTGAACCCCCTGACCACATGAATGATTTTATGCATTGCACATGCTGCCACATGATTAGCTGAATAATTAATTTAGCGAGTAAACAGGTGTGCAAGTTTTTCTAACACAGTGCCTGATGAGTGAACAGAGAATCTGAGAAATGTGGCGGTCAAACTATCTCCTTCATTCTCTGTCTTATAGTAAAATATTCACAATTAAAATAGTATTCAATTGAGGACAACCAATTATACTCAAATCAGTGATTTTATCCAGCGCTGATTGGTCTATTCCCCACATGTCCCACCTCTGTGATGCGCCAACCAGCCCCTCCCCTCTCCTCTCTCTGCGGCTCACAACCAAGTCATACACGGCACGCGGAAAGGGGCGGCGGGGGAAACGGAAACTTCACCTTGCCTTTTAAAAAGCCGACGATGTCCGTACAGGGCGAGTAAGGTCAGACACAACCACGGGAGGAGGATGAAATTGTTTTTTTGTTTTTTTTGTTAGTTTGTTAAAAAAAAGAGAGCAAACAAACAGGTGTCAGCCAGCCAGGGCACAGTCACCTTTCATCCCGCCGTATGAGGTTCTGTCCTGCGCTTCCCTTGATATGAAAACACTCAGCACGCGCCAGGCTCCGTCGCATTCACTCGCTGTCCACGAGCAGCCGCGATGGTTAAATGTCCTGTTTAATGGTCGAGGTATGTAGATTGTGACTTAACAGCAGAATGTGCTGCGTGCCTCCTCCACACACACACACACGCACACACGCACACAGGACTGGTAAGACCCAACGAAAAACCTGTGTTACATTCCTATAGTGTTACTGTTAGAACCTATGAAATGTCTTTAGTGCTCATTAGAGCGTTAGACCATATTATAGTCTGTTTTGTGTATGCTAGGGTTTTTATAATACTCTTATATGAGTGTGGTTGTATTCTCATAAGGGATACAATATTTGCATTCTAGGTAGAGAGTTAATGGCGACCTTGGGGTCTCATGGTAAGGGAATAGTTTGTTTGGTCCAGACCTCTCCTCTTCATGTATATTCCATAAGCTGCAGTGTTAGCTACAGTATGCCTCGTGTATTATTGCATTGTGTCACGTCAGTGTATTGACAGCTTTACAGCAGTCAACCAGCAGCCTGGACACTGCAGACCACATGGAGACAGGGGGCAGGTGTGCAGCAGAGGGAGCTATGATAACCTACATTA